CAGAGAGCTCAGGTCATCCCTGCTTCCCAGAACAACGATGCTAATGGTCCTCTCCTGCTGTTGTTATATGTCTCACTGGGACACATACAATAGACCCTATGGAGAGATCAAAGAGTATAGCTCTTCACAAAGACTAAGTCAAAGACCAACAAAGTAAGCACCAGAAAGTGGGTACTGGCAGTGGAGAGATGAGGGGCAAATGGTAGAAGAATGAAGGAGACAGCGTGGAGAATGCAGACAAGAATACAGTGCATATGCCACAGAATTGAGAACTCTGAGCTAAGGGTGGGTCAAAGGGGAAAGGTGAGAAAGGAATGACACAGATCCACATGCCTTGAATCCACAAACTGCTTTGTTCAATGATGTCAGCATACATGTCCTGAACATTAAGCAGAGAGAGGGAAGAGGTGTTTGAGAGGTGGGCAGGAATGTTGGAAGGGGTGACATTGATCAAGCCTCAGTGTGTTCATAAACTGTCTCACTGAACGGCACCTTTATTTTTTATTTAATTAAAAAAATGTTGTGTAGTTGATGTACAGAGCAGGTGTAGTTACGTGAATCAGGTACAATCAGTGCAGTTCTTTATGGACTGTTCTTCACTTCTATTGCTCTCTCCCAATCCTTCCTTCCTTTCCCCACCCATTACATTTCCAGTTCATTTTCCACAGTGTCTGGTGAGTATCTCTGTGATATTTGTTCATTCCTGTCCCAGATTTTATGTGACCCCCCATTACCCTCCCAAATACAAACAATTAATAAACAATACAAAAGGCAGAGGGAAAATGTTTTTAAAAAGCAAATGGCTCTGCAATCTTTACAAAGGGAAGCAGAGTTAAACTTCTGTGAAGAAGTTCATATTCCATCACTGGGTTTCTTCAAGCCAATTGATTACAGACATTTCAGTTTATTCACTCATCTAACAAACTCTGCCTTCCACCTGCATCTCCTCTGTGCACTGCCCTACTGAGACTTCTGCCCCAGAGTTGCTTTATAGCAGAAGACATGCAAATAGGACGTCCCTCTGCCCATGAAAACCAGCCCATCCCTGACCTGAGCTCTGTGAGCTGATTCCACCAGTGACTGAGCACAGACCACCACCATGGAGCTGGGGCTGCGCTGGGTTCTACTTGTTGCTCTGTTGAAAGGTGATTTATGGGCAGCAAGGGTGTGCAAATAGGCACAAGTGGGCGGAACCATGGACATGTGTGACCATTGCTGACCAGGATTCTCTGTGTTTGCAGGTGTGCAGTGTGAGGTGCAGCTGGTGGAGTCTGGGGGAGGCTTGGTGCAGCCTGGGGGGTCCCTGAGACTCTCCTGTGCAGCCTCCGGATTCACCTTCAGTAG